CTGAGTTAGCAACTTACTGGAACAAAATTTTCACGGGCCTGTGCATGTTTGCCAAGCATACCTGAGTGCTGGGTTCGAGCTGAATGAAACTTTGGTGGACGGGGTATATCCTCTTGAAATTGCATCCCTGTAGCTCCTCAGGTAATTGAGTTATCAATTTACTGGAGAAAAATTTCGGCGGGCTCTTGCGCGGGTACCACGTCTACCCGGGGGCTGGGTTTGAGCCCACTAACACCCGGTTGGGCGGGGGACATTATCCCAAGATTTCAGCGTTCTTGCTTCTCAGGTCCTCGAGTTATGAAGTGACCCCAAAAAAACTTTGGCGGGCCCGTACGCGGGTACCAGCGGGTTTTGGCGCCCATTTCGGGGATTGGGGGCAGCATGTGCATGTAGATTAAGTTCCCGAAATTTCAGCCCTGCAGCTTTTATAGGTCCTGAGATGAAAGTGCGTGACAGACGCACACACAGACAGCCTCTCGTCAATATGCATTTTTCGCATTGCATTGCTGCAAAAAACACATAAAAAAGGAATGAGAGAGCCAAGATCATATGAAAAATATCTGGTCTCCATTTGCTTATTGCATTTGCTAATGGATCATATGATGCGGTTTTGCCGATGTTTTATCTGTTAGCTTTAAACACAGACAATCATTGAAAGTGGAAAAAGATGGAAATTATCAGTACAGCCTCTTATCCACCATTTTATGAAGTCATATGCTAAATTGTTAAGGAAAAGATAAGAGAAAAAGCAAGAAAATTTGTGTTGATAGATAAAGGAATTGCTCTGGAGCACTAAAGAAAATCTTTTCCTATTTGCAAAGAGTGGCTTTTGGCAAGGTACGCTAAAATTCATTGGATTTTACATGATTCTTACGATTTCAGGGTTTTTTTTGTCGGCGCGAAATGAGTGGGAAAGCGGATTTTTGACCATGATATCAGCACTGAAAAAGAAATTTGGTGCCGCTGAAAACGGTGCTACTGAGCGACATGCAGGCGGTGTTGTGCGTATGCCACATGGAATTGCCGCTCTTGGCCGTGACCTTCAGAAGAAATATGCAAAAGGAGTACAGTATAACAGTAAGTTTTCGATTTTTTTTTTTCACACTTTATCTTCATTTATGATTTTGGTAGTTGGCCTTTGGGGATGTGCTAGTGAAGCCTCTGAACCAAATTTAGCCCAAATTTTGATCAGTGATCTTTTAAACTTGTAATTTAAATATTTTAATGGAGTTGTGAAAAAAGTTGTGAAAAAAGCTACGGAATTATGAAAAAAGTTATAACTAAAAAGAAAGTAATAATTAAAATTTAAAATAAAAACTGAATTAGAATGTTTCGGCCCATTAAATCGCATATATTTCCATTCAGTACTGCAACTGGACCTCGTCACTGTGACGGTTGTAGCAGAATACTTGTAAGCCGATCTTCAATCTGTGCTTTTCTAGTGAAAATCGTAATACGCGGAG